ATATATTTTATTATAAAATACACCTCAATAAGTCAAGATTCTAATCTTTTTCATAAACCCTCAACAGTTTTCATTTCACCGAACGGCTCTTGTTTATTAGAAAAAGTGTTTTTACTTTTCAGTATTATTACTGTACGAAATGGTAAATGGTGAAACGACACCGTAAGTAATAAATTTACTGTTTCTAAAAACCATTGAGTCCCATTCTCCTCTATAAATATGGTTCCACTGCTTTCCCTCTTCTTCCCCGTTTCCCGGAACTTTCATCTAACCGGCTCCGTCAATCCCGCCGGAACCTGATCCACCTCCACCGACCGGTCAACCCCCTTACGATATGGACAGATCCAGATTCGTCATCGAATCCGACAAGGCACAAGAAATGGCCAAAGAGTTAGGCCTAACACTCCGGCAGCTCCTCCCCACCCTCGTCGATTCAGCCCAGTCCCTGGCTCGCCCTCCAATCTCCCAGTTTCCCGTCGGGGCGGTTGGTCTGGGATCCTCCGGCCGAATCTTCGTCGGAGTCAATCTTGAGTTTCCTGGTCTTCCGCTTCATCACTCTGTCCACGCCGAGCAGTTTCTGGTTACCAATCTCTCCATCAATGCGGAGCCAGGATTGCAGTACTTTGCCGTCTCTGACCCCCCATGCGGCCATTGCCGCCAGTTCCTCCAGGAGCTACGCGGCGCTGCCGACATCAATATCCTTATCATCTCATCACAAAACGAAAATAACAATGGAAACCCAAAGCGGGACAAGGCGAATTCTAAAGAATTCAATCCATTGTCGCAGTATCTCCCGGAGAGGTTCGGTCCGGACGATCTCTTGGGGAAAGACGTGCCTTTGCTCCTGGAGACTCAAGAAAACGCCTTATCTTTCTCCGAGTTCGCCAACGGAGAAATCACTGGAAAGGACTTAAAGTACGCCGCTCTCGACGCCGCAAACATGTCTCATGCGCCGTACAGCGGGTGTCCATCTGGGGTAGCGTTGGTGGATGTTGAAGGGAAGGTATACAAAGGCTCTTACATGGAGTCTGCCGCATATAACCCGAGCCTGGGACCAGTTCAGGCGGCCATCGTGGCGTATGTAGCCAACGGTGGCGGCGGTGGGTACGAGAAGATCGTTGGTGCGGTGTTGGTGGAGAAGGCAGATGCCCTGATAAAGCAAGAGCACACAGCAAGGTTGCTCTTGCAGTGTATTTCTCCAAATTGTGAATTGAAGGTATTTCACTGTGTATCTTTGAAGAAAAAGAGCAAAAACCCATCTTGAGTTGGAGTATCTATATTTCTCTGTACTAGCAACTGTAATTGCTGGAAAAGCTTGCAACTGCATGATCGATCAATGAATATCATGTCCCTGTTTTCTTCCTCGTTGTTGGTATCAAAATCACAGAGGCTTGACCTTCTGTTTCTCAATTCGAAATTCTGAATTAGATATATTCAATGTTTAGATGAACATGGAACAGATGAGAAATGCTAGTTCTTGGTTGAAGGAGGCATAAACTGCATATTAGCATGCATTTGATTTGAAGTTAATAAATTTTCCTGTTATTTTCCCCTCCTTGAACTTCAATACAATTCTACTGCTTTTGCTTTGTATTTGTAGTAGTAGTTGTGTATAAGGTATGAAAACTGAGAAAAAGCAAGTGCTTTTTTATGATACTTTTAAAAGTTTTGGTTGGTTTACGCAGCCAATAAGAGGGGGGCAGAATCCAAGCCCTTCAATTTTGATTGATATACTATTAAATGAAATTGATTCACGTTTATCTTTCTTCTTGATTGGTGGATTTGATGATGCAGTTGCCCTGGAGTTCCGTCATCTCTTACTTTTTTTCACCTCTTCAAATTTATTGTCAACAGGTCTAACATCAACACCATGAATGTCATGAATGTGTTCTTGGTTCTTTTATTCTTTATTCTTTTTTCTAGAACGCCTCAAAGTGGCATGGCAATTTAAAGTGGTAGGGCCTTCTTTTGGCCAAAAAGAGTTGTGCAACTTTGGTTTTTACCAACTTGATGAGTCATGTCGTTTACCTTTACACAGGGATTAGTAAGTTTCTAAGTTTAATGTTAGGTTCTGTGGTGATTGGGATCATTTCAGCTTATTTAAACCTTGAACATAGTCGCACAGTGCCACATAACTCAAGGTTGCTGATCACCTAGGTTCACTGCTTTTTGTTTAATCAGAGAACAGTTTAACCCTGGCTAGATCCCACTTAACGGATGGAGGAGCAGTCCAAGCCTAGGAGAGTTCTCCCAAAGGCTTTAAGGACCTACTCAGGTTCCCAGAGGCTTTCAGCAGTTAAGGACCTACTCGGGTTCGTATGGTGAAAAGATCTAAGATCAACACCATGATTGTCTTGAATGTGTCCCCTTTTCCCAGAAGGGTTGTTTTATACAATCTTCTTTCTTCTAGAACACTAACAGGTGGCATTGCAATTTAAAGTGGTAGGGCCTTTTTTAGGCCAAAAAGAGTTAAGCAATTTTGGTGTTTACCAACTTGATGAGGTCATGTTGTTTAAGCAGTGATTAATATTATTGTCATTATTATTACTTTGATAAATACACAGGGATTATTGAGTTTCTGTATAATGTTAGGTTTTGTGTGGAGTTTCATTCCCACTACTACAAAGCAATGACTTGTAGTTAGATTGACTTGAGTTTCTTCATGTGTAGTGTGTTTTCTATTACAAAATTGATTCTTTAATTACATATGTTTCGTCCAGATTATCAACCGTATGGTTCATGTTGAAACAAACGAGACATTGCAGGTGCTGGAGAGCTAACATTTGTAGCACAGGTTAAAAATTGACATACGAAACGAAAAGCTTTCAAAGCTTAAAATCAAGGACTGGAACCTTCACCTACAAAGATTTCTGCAGGTGATTTGTTGCTTTGTTTTCATCAGTGAGTCCCTGCAGGACAGGAACATGCAGCTTTGGAAAGATATCATGCATGTTAATTGAATTAATATTACCGGAGTAGTAAGCTAACTGAAATTAGATACTATTGTTCTTCAATCATCAGAGCAGGCTGGATAGGAATTTGAGCAATACATACCGCCTTCAGTATCATAAATTCATAATTCTATCAACTCAGGTAATGGTTCAGCTACAATGTTTAACAGTCAATCATTCAACTACTCCTTCGATGCAATGTCATATATATTTTTTTTTATACTAACCTGTCGATATCCAGAAATCAGATTAAGCGTTGATTTATCTGGAATTAAGCTAGATCGAACCCCATATGAGAAAAGTTCTTTCGGCATTTATTTTTCCATTCACAAGACTCGAATTTAAGATCTTGTTTAAAGAGAACTGAGTTTTTTTCACTCAGACCAACATATTGTTGGTGATGCAATATCATATTGCACAAAAGATTATAAGGAAAAACATTGTAACTAAATCATTTTCGCTATTCACTTTTGACCATCCGTAGGTCAATAAAATGCTACATTTCTAACTTGAGAAATCATTGTTAGACAGCAACAAGTACCTTGACTTGAATCCGACCCCATTCATTTGATCCTTTCAATCTTTATAAAGGCTTACCACTCGGTCAACTACATATCTAAAAACTCATGAATGTACTAGCTCGCAGTTTTGTAGCTCAAACTGAAACCATGAAATGGGGAGGACCTGCCCTTACAGGATTGCACTGCACAATATTTTTCGTTTCAATAATGCATACATGCCAAGTAAAATATTTAGAAATAGATTAGAGGATGCCAATAATTTCTCTTGAAATTATTCTCTGCAAAACCACAGTGCATTATGCCATATTCATGGAAAAATTGAATCTAATGCATTTGCTTCTTAAGGAAAAGTTTAAATGAAACGAAAACTCGAAAGAATGGAAAATGTATTTGCAGGTTTTTTCGATGAAGGGCATAACATAATTAATGTTAGAGAATATACTAGGACATTGAAAATGAAGAAGACGCCGGATGTTTTAACGGTAGAGGCACTGGTGCATCGTCGCGGCGAAATAACGCCGGCGATCCAATCCCTTCTTCATCATCTACAAAGAATAAATCATCTGTACTTCTCAATAACCCATGCACCAAAACAACAACCACCCCAATTGTAAGTCCCACCATGACGTTCACCGTCACGTCTGTAAGGAAGAGCACGGCCACGGTGAGCACTAAGAGAGTCGTCATGACGATGCGGTCGTCCACCTCGTAGCCGAGAGCTTTTACCGGTCGGTCACGGAGGAAATAAAGGAAGAGCCACAGGGCCATCATGATGATGAAGACGATCAGGGAGATGGGGTGCCAGAGCAAGCTGAGGAACAGGAGGAACAGGACAACAATGACATAGTTTGTGCGGAAGAATGCGACATTGGTTCGGATTCTCTGTAGGGAGACGTTGACGTTGGATGGGAAGTTGAAGGAATTCATACGGATCATCTCCTTCCATGGCCGCCGTGTGCCAAGGTTGCATTGGATCTGTTCTCTGGCACGGAGGATGAAATTTGACGAAGAGTCTGGTAATTCTGACGGTATTGTTCCATAGGTCGTCATTTTTGTTGTTGTTGTACACTAAATTTCAAGGTATGAGTCTTTGATCCCTCATTGAAAGTACGAAACTTGAATGTTTCCTGTTGGTCACCGAGGGAAGGAGAGGAAGAGAGGATCCTGCAAAGATTTTCTAAATTTAAGGGTTAAGGAGACAAGGAATGTTGCAAACTACCCACCAGACCTCTCTCCATAGAACCAATAATAAAAACTACATTTCTTATTACCATCCATATTCCTGAGGTCCATGATTCACGGATATAGCTCAGAAAAATTAAGAAAGGTGATTATACAATGATATATTTTTGGTTAAAAAAGTACTAACGGTTAATGAGAAAAATTTACAGACTTAATCTCGGGCCTTGTTAGTCCCTGGTGAACAACCCCAACATCAAGGAGCAAGATCACCATCATGCAGACCAAGAGATGCAAGAATTCGATGATTGGTAACCTCTGAATTTTGCAGTCTTCCTCGAGTCTGGAAAATGAGTACTCAAGGAATGAAGAAGTGATGTGAGACCCTAACAAACAAGTGATTCCACGCAGTGAGAAAACATAAAAATTTGTTGGATAGCAATCCCAGATAAGAAAATGTTGGGGTCGGAAAATACTTTGACTCAACCAGCAATGACAAGTTATCAGTTTATCACCACATCAAGGTCTGCTTTGATTATTTTCAGACAGGGCAATACAATGCTTGATTGCTAAATACTATATAAAGCTTCAATTTTTATGCAAAGTCCAGAGGAGGAACGTAGAAAATGCTGCATGGCTCTCTAAGCAGATCACTGTGATTCTGACTGACTAGGTGCCATGGCCTCCCCTCTGAAGATCCTCCAGGGTCCACCATAGAACTTTGGTTTCATAAGTGGTACAGCTTCCCCAGGGTGATCTTCCCAATATTTTTCCTGTTCAATAACACAGACAACTCTTAGTAGAACCTCAAAGATTGAAGCATCTTGGGTGGTCAAAATTCTTTTTTGACATGCCCAAATGATTAAAAATAACAGAACAAGAATTTAGCTGATCCCTTTAACACCGTCCTCAATTTTGAAAGTTAACGAGAACCTTCATGAATATTGCAAAATCATTACAGCTCATATCATTCTCTCCAAAAATTTCCCCTTCTTAGAGAATTTCCAAACCGTATGACAATGAATCATGGTTTTTTTTTCTCCTTTTCACTTCGCATTTTGCCTTCCAACTATCCCAGGAGAGATTTGTACTTGCTCATCTTTCTCAGTCCAAACGTGGCAATTCAATATATTTAATTCAGATATGTTTCAATATATCAATAATGCAAAAGACAAGTTTCAATATCTTATAATGGAATCTGATGTATTTACCCAGTTGCCAAGGGGAATCTTTTGTAGCAAGCAGGAGGGGGGGGGGGGAAGAGGAAGAGATTTCAAAAGACCTTATCCTAGGCATGAAACACATAATAACTCTGAAGAAGTTTGGCAAGAAAATAGTGATTATGAAATCAAGAGC